GAATGTTGACAAACTCCTGAGCGTTTCTCGGTCTCTGTGCGTGGATAAACGCACATCTCGAGATGCTCAAGGAGTTTCTCCATGTGGCGTGCATGTTACTGATAAAGAGAAAGGACAAAACCTAGGGCTTAATGACTAAATGGTAGAGTAAAACTTTAAAGCATCAATCAACAAACCTTCAGACTGGTCTGACTCGGGTTGCTATATATTTTCTAACGGATCTAGCTTACGGTTTTTGTAAACCAGACTATCAAACCACCTACAATCCCATAGACTTTTTTCACTGCTAAAAGACCAAGCAATCTTAAACCAGCTAAGACTAGACAACCAGCCTAAGCTGGATTTAGTGTGTGTTTTTTTTTTAATCAGCTGGTTTTACTTGGTTTCAGATGTTTTTAGCTGGGTTTTTTAATTCATGTTAGCAATATGTTAAATCATGGTAAAACATGCTAGCAACATGCAAATCATGCTAGAAAATGCTACTCATGCTAGAAACATGCTAGTCATGCTAAGAACATGCTAGCAACATGCTATTCATGCTAGAAACATGCTAGCAACATGATAATCATGCTAGAAACATGCTAGCAATTTTCTAACACAGGGGTTTTCAAACTTTTTGGAGCTAGGGACCCCTTACAGGGGAGAGGTTTTTCCAAGGACCCCCTCATAATTATAACATTGTTTAAGACTAAAGTTTAATGTGGGTAGGAGGAATGAACATAATATGAATGTTTTATTGGTGCAAATGGTCCCCATTGTATATGTACTTTTAAATACTACAGCATAATATAATTAAATTTACCATATTTTCCAGAAAGTTGCACCAGGTCAGGGGGGGAAAAACAAAAAAACAAAACATAAGTTGCATGGTGTGTAAGTCGCATTTTACTATTACTTTCAGAAATAATTTAAATACTGAATAGGTCTAAATAAAACGAATGTTAGGGGGAAAAAAACATTATAAACACTAACATGATTTTTTCTTCCCCTCACTCCAAATAATTTACATTTTGTGGCATTCATAACAGAACAAAAATAAATGAATATATGTGTATATAAAAAAATATATATATATAGTGCCGATCATTACAAACAACATTTATTTTAAATGCCATAGGCGCCGATCCCGTGGGTGCTCGTGAAAAACACAAGATAGTCTTCGTTCATTTTAACCTATAAGAAATGGATTGCAGCTTTTACAACTTTATTCTCGTATTTATACTTCATTTGAGGCCGTTTTTGGCAATATTTTAATGGCAAATGTCGAGAGTGCATTATTGTAATACGAGAGGGCGCCAGCACGAATCTCTCGGCTTACAGTGGGCTTGCTTTCCATTATATATGTGATCATGGCTCTCCGCTCCCTCAGATATTACACATAACTCAAACGTTGTCCTGTGTACGCGCAAATAAGTGCTTTTTGTAAACAGGTATTTATTAAATAATTGTATTTAGTGAAGCGCAACCCTTATAGAAAGAATATGTGTATTATTTTGGTTGGTAACTGCATGCATTTCAATTCGCAAGATAAATTTTGTGAAGTGAATTCATCAAACGCACCATCGAACGGAGTATAACTCTAGAAAAAACTAACACCCAGTATAATGAATTACTGAGTAATGAGAATGTTTAAATATGTGTATGACAGGGGTTTTCAAAGTCTAAGACAGTGGGCCTCCCTTTTGACACAACTTACCCAATGGCGCCTCCCCCTGCATGCATTTCAATTCGCAAGATACATTTTGTGAAGTGAATTCATCAAACGCACCATCGAACGGAGTATAGCCTACTCTAGAAAAAACAAACACCCAGTATAATGAATTACTGAGTAATGAGAATGTTTAAATATGTGTATGACAGGGGTTTTCAAAGTCTAAGACAGTGGGCCTCCCTTTTGACACAACTTACCCAATGGTCCCTCCCCCACATCGGTGGATTCGTCGATCTGGAGTGCAAAAAATGGGCTGTGTCTGACTTGCTCCTCCGCATCCTGTGCCATGTCTGAGATGCGCCGATTTATTGTGTTGTCAGAGAGTGGAACAGAATCGATCTTAGAAGCCGCTGTCTCCCCTAGCATCATGGAACACAGGTCTTTTGCTGCCGGCAGAATTAACGTCTCTCCAGTGGTATGTGCTTTGCCTGCCTTGGCAATACGCAATGCAATGCGATAATGAAGCTTCAGCGGCCTTTCCATTTAATTTGACAAAATCCAAAATCCAAAATTCCACGATTTTTTTCTGACCTTGAAAGGTTTAAAGTTTTCTCTGGAAAAATTCTGGAGGTTTTCCTACTACCTCAACATGCTTGGTTTCAAGGTGTCACCGACGTTTTGCGGGTCTCATGCTGTCATTAGCCAAAATATCTAGACAAACCACACATAAAGGTCGTGGTTCATCAGCTGGTCCTGTCCACGTAAATCCTAAACTCAAATACTGATCATCATATCGTCGTCTTTTGGGTTTAAGCCCTGAAGTTGAAGGCTTTGAATCGGGAGGTCTCAGAAACCGCTCCATTGTATTAAAAGGCATATACCTGTATTGGCAGGCTTGCCAAAAACAGCAGCGAATTCACAGCTACGGCCTTCTGGGTGAAAAATGTTTCTCATATTTTTGACTTAATATTTTTAGTATTGTTTAAATAAAAACATTTAATTATAATAAAAAATACATATAATAATTAAACTCGATAATTCTATTTTTAATGTATTATAATTGTATCCTCCCAGGGGGAGGTGCGCCCCACACTCTGAAAACCCCTGGTGTATGATAACTTAGCCCGGTTATCATTTACTTGTGTAAACAGCAGTGAAAATGTGTTTTATAAAAAAATAAAATACTAGTTTTTTGCACCCACTGGCAGAAACATAAATCGGCGCCTATGGCTATGTCCATAACAAACTAAATTTACTTACTAAAAACTGAAACTTAACCACATAGTGGGCTCACAAACCTCTCATTCGGCATGAATCGTTTCCATGAGTGAATCGTTATGCAGTCTAACATTTGGTTGCTAAACTATTAGGCTACTAAGTAAAGAAGGCATTGTACTTCTCTCATGTCCGAATATCAACTAACAGCATCCTTCACATATGCAAAAAAGTGTTTGGAAAAACACCACGGCAAACGGCAAAACCTACATATTGTACAACAGACAAGTTAAATTGAGTCACCAAATACCTTTTGTAGGTTTAGTTGTCTCATTTAGTTTGCTGATGATGAGGCTGTGATGTCAAGTTGCAATGCTAGAACTGATGTTGTGTGCGCGCGGGAGGCGCCAGCGCGAACACTTTGGATCCCTTATATCAGCGGAAAAATGTGATATCCGTCAGATAAGAGCAAGACAACATTCAAAACGGTCTATTTTTATTTGTGTACCTTCAAAATGAGAAAATAAATAAAATGACAAAATAAAGAAAACAAACAAAATGCGCTTGCCGTCTTGGTCTATGTGAACCACTTTCTAAAATGAAGAAAAACTCTGCGATACTCTCTACTTGTCGAACAGACATGAGAAATATATTTAGCTATAAACCTTGAAGTGCCCGCTTTTATTTATTTACGCTTTGCTTATTTGACATTAATGCATTATATAAGTCACTTTGGAATATAAATCATAGCACGTTTCAGAAGATAAAAAAACGCGTGTTGCAGTCCGGAAAATACAGTATAATATAGCAAATTATTTTGCGGACCCCCTGGCTTTGCGTCACGGAGCCCCAAGGGTCCGCGGACCCCAGTTTGAAAACTCCTGTTCTAACATGTTAATCATGTTAAAACATGCTAGCAACATGCTAATCAGCTTAAAACATGTTCGCAACATGCTAATTATGCTAGAAATATGCTAGCAACATGCTAGTCATGCTAGAAACATACTAGCAACATGTAATCATGCTAAAAACATGCTAGCAACATGTTAATTTCGTGTTAACAAAATGTGCTAAATCATGTTATCAACATTCAGTCAACATCTATCTAATCTATCTATCTAAAATTTCAAACTTCAAGCTTTTACAACTGATTCAAACTTTCAGGCTTGGCTTTCTCAAGCCAACTTCAAAGTTTGTTCACAAACTTTACTCATCTAGTTCATCTTTGTTAGCATTGTTAATAAATATACAACTGTTAATTATTTGCTCATGTTAGCTCCATTAAATAATATTAATATATACAACTTTTGATTGTAATAATGCATTAACAAATGTTAAAATTAACATTAATAATAATAAATGCTTTAGAATAATTTTGTTAGTTCGTGATGACTAATGTAATATATAATGTTAATTAATGGAACCTAATTGTAAAGAAGAAGAACAGACTTGTGATTCAGTTATTAAATGGTCATAAACTTCACTTTCATTTTATCACTTTAATTTGGCAATACTTTTCCGCCTTTAATGAATTAATGAACTCTCCTGAGTCTTGTTGTGAGGTTTAGTGACTTCAGCTCTCGGATTGTGAAGATGTTTCCTGCATTTACTTTGCTTTTCCTCAGGTTTTAGACACATCCGTTTGCCATAAACCGATGCCTGCCAGGCAAATCCCAGCTGCACGAATGACAGATGTATCCTGTCAGTTACAGTATTTGTTTAAAATGTTTACAGTCTGTTGATACAAGGCTCCCCGAGGCCATATTTCAGATAGCGGACCTTTTTCATTTGACGTCATCACCCAGAATGTCCTCAGCAATTAATGAATGTGAATGGACTTGCAAAACAACTTCCCAGACTTCGGCAGAGCTGTTCAAATCAGCTATCATTCATGGAAACACCGGTTTGTGGAGATATTGATTCTCTGTGCTGTTTATACGGAAATATCCAACTGTCACGCACGTATTCCCATGGTGTCTTGTTTGCCTATATCCAAATTAGAGCGGTTAATTGTTATGTTGTTTCACAACCTGGCTGGTTGCTAAGCAGGTGGAACGTTTACACAGAATGATACTCATTAACTCTTAAAATGGCACTTCCCCTTGAGTAACTCTTGTTTTATTCTCCCTTACAGATGCCCGGTTTAGTGTCATGCCTTGGCGATCTAATAGTCACTGGAATCATCATCCTCTTCTCTGACCACGTCCAATCAGAGATATGGACCAATGAAGGTACATTCTGCTTTTATTTGGGCCAAAGTGCTTCAGGACAGCCAGCCACGTTAGCATTTGAATGTTGTTGTTGCTAGTATGTGGATTTGCGTTCAGCATATGGAACTCGTCAGAAGTCTCTGTAGCATGTCTTTGTTTAGACCAGTGGTTCCCAAACTTTTTGCAGCGTTGCACCCCTTTCTAGTGTTTGACACATGCAAGCACTCCCACCACCGTACTCCGGTTAAACACCACATTTTTACTGCAATACAAGTATAAATACAAGTATTCACTGTATACAGGGCTTGACATTAACTCTTTTGCTCACCAGCCACTGTGGCTAGTGGTTTTCCAAAATTACTAGCCACTCAGCATTTTCACTGGCCACAATTTTGTTGCTGGAAAATTACATTTTATATGACTAAAGTTACTGCATATTAAAATTTATTTGATTTCCAAATTGATTCCCAGGTCTTTTTTTTTTTTTGCCTATAAAAAGGGCATTTCCCCCTAACCTTATTAAATTCATGTGTCATCTTTCAAATCAAATTCTTACATTTTATTAATAATTTTACTTAATATAATAAGACTCTATAGGGCTGTTACCAATCAAATGAAATCAGTATTAACAAAACCAAATTTTCCACTGCTGGAGAAACAGAAGCAGCTGAAGTGGCATTTAGATGCATTTACACAGACAATTTAATGAAGCTGAAAGGTAGCATGAATGCATTACACTGCAAAATTACAAC